CACATGCATAATAGAAATACTCCGGCACTCAAATTAAGGCTGGATCAATGCTTATCCTAAAATGCAGTTATAAAATAAGTAGCATRTAAAAACAGAATTAGCAGTTTATTAGACATAAACAAACTATACAACAGTTACAGCGTTGTTCAGTAAATATTAGTCATCCATAAAAGAATAATCCATACATAGATATACTCTTTCAGATGTCATTGATGTGAAGAAGCAGCTCAATATAAAGTTCTTTTGCTTCGTTTGGGGTATTTGGCATTTGCAAATTGTGTTCTTGCATGATTATGCTTCCTAACTCTGCAAATGATGTGTCACACCCCATGGTGGGTCTCTGCTTCCCGCAGATCTGCTCTGCCGCGAGCAGRTCATTCTCCTCAACTTCTGACTTTAAGTCTGGACTGTCGGGAAGGAAGTACAAGACATCAGGTCTTCCACGTGGTGAATCACTATGTAACGATGGCCTTATTTTATGCAAATTCCAGTTTTTGGCGACTGTATGCAATTCACATAAAGCATAAAGCAAAATTGTAAGCAGTTGGATTGAATAAGATCACCACTATTGTACATCCCTCTATCTCTCATATCTTTAAAGTAGTTGATCCACCAGTTTGTATTGGTTTTTCTGAGTGTCGACCACCAAGCCTCGATCCGCTGATTCGCAGTAGATTTGCTGTAAAGGAAACTCTTGACACCAGCCATGCTGTCCTGATGATCTTTCCTTAGATATCGCTGTATCGCAGCTATATAAAAATTTTCACTCCCACAATCTCCTCTTATGACACGCGGAACACCATCAACCTGGCGGATGCAGTCAATAAAATAATGAGATGTGATCTGGGGATCGCTGTTTGAGGGGCCAACTTCTAACCACATAATTCTTCTGCTATAACCGTCAATGGCTCCGTGAACGCAAAAACCGAATGGTTTCAACTTATCGTACCCATCTATGTGCCATATAAAATTTGGACCTTTGGCATAGTATTTTCTTCGTCTTAACTTGCTCCTAGATCTGTAATCAACACCCTCAGGGTCAAGACCTTTCACAATTCCACGATCATTTTGTAATCTCTGATGCATTAGTCGGTATCCTATGCTACATCCACTTCAAGTTCTTCCTCAACTGCATCAACAACTTGTCGTACAGGTGTAAAGTTTCTTCGTCTTCGCAAACCTCTGGCGGCTAATACTCTCTTGAGCTGCCTCAAGCATAATCGTATCCCATGGTACAACAGGAGGAAGCTAATAATTTTGCTGTAATTTAGCCCGAGCAGGAAATAGCTCTCGATTAAGCTATCTCGTTGTTGTCCATGAACTCCTTTTAAGAGGGGGATGTATTCTKGCAGACTTGCTTGAAGAGATCTCACTTGTTCCAACAAAACAACAGCAACAACAAAAGCTCTTGCATTAACGGACATATTCTACAGTTGCTCAATTTACGGCATACATCYATTGAAAGATATGAAATACGTTATTCATGCTATTATATTCAATATATTGTCTTATTTTTAAGATCACTGTAAATG